CAAAGGACAGAGTGAGACAACATTGAGTTAGCAATTTTAACTACTTTCTGGCCGTCAGAGAACAGAGAGAGGGACGGATGGTAATTGAACAGTCATACGTTATTTAGCTCTCTATCATCATGACAGATGGAGAAAAGATTGAAGTTGTCAAGGAGCTAATTTTACTTGGATGCGCGATCAACACCTGTGGTAGCTGCAGTAAAGAGATCAAAAGATGTGTTGCCTGGGAAAATCTGCTGTCAAGGACGTTTCCAAAGTGCTAAAGAGCAAGAATGTCAGTTTAAAGACTAAACTGTGTCCCTGATCTAAGCCATGATAGTTTCAATTACTAATGCATCTGAATGTTGGACCATATACCAGGATGACAGAAGAAGAATCGATTCCTTTGAATTATGTATTGGTGAAGAATATTAGTGGCATCCACTTCCTAAACAAGCTGCCTCTGGAAACTCTATGAACTTTGATAAATGACGATAGTTATGGAAAGGCTTCAGGCCTTTTATTTGTAGGGTTGCTATGAGTCGTGCTTGACTCAATGGCATTCAACAACAACAACAAACTGTCAAAAGAATAATCTGTCTTTTAAGAATTGCAATTAGAATGCTCCTTAGAGGTAAGAATGCTAAAACTTACACATCATCTTATACACTTGGGAAAGGCTGTTTAAGAGGGTCCAGTCCCATCCTGCTAGGAAAGGGGGAGGGTCAGAGAAAGAGAGGAAGATCCTTAACAAGATGGACAGACACACAACAACGGGCCTGAGCGTGGTGGAGATTGTGATGCTGGCACAGGGGAGAATAAGGCTGTTCTGTCGTCCATAGGATCACTATGAATTGTAATCCACAGGACAGCACCTAACAACAACAAGCTTAGCTATGGGCCATGCTGTAGGTGTGGCCTTGGAGAGAGCCTGCTGGGAGCAGGGAGGCCAGGAGACCAGGCTGCCGGCTGTACCACAGGCAGCTAAATCTTGGCGTGACTCATGAAGATCGCTTTTGTGTTGCTTTTTCTTATTTTTTTCCACCTGCAATGCAAAGAGAATATACTGCAGTGTGATTCTTATCGTCTTCCAGAGCCTGAGAAAATTCCCTGGAGTTGTTTTTGGTTGTGTGGTGCGTTTTGGCTTTTTTTTTTAATTTCCCCAACATGTAGCAGCATATATATTTCGATTTAGTTCTGACCTAAGGTTAACACATTCGCAATTTCCAAAAGCTCTCACAGAATACTTAATGAGCACCACAGGGTGTGGAAGGATCCTTCCAGCTCTAGCCTTCAGGGTCCCCATCTGGTGTTAGTCGAGACTGCAGACCGAAGGAAAGGGTTGTGTGATAGCACAAGACCCTGGTGATCTTCTGGGGCAACTCCGTGTCACCCCATCTGTGTGCTGGCTTGTCTCTGTGCCTATCTGGTTCAGCTACCATTGGGCCAGCTCTGAGTCATGACACCGCATGCATGTGAATCTGGACGTGTTCTCCACAGGGCTCTTAGAGACTCGTGTTTCAGAAGCACATGGCCAGGCCTTTCTTCTGAGCTCCTTCTGGGTGGACTCAAACCTCTAATCTTTCTGTTAGCGGCCATATGTGTTAACTGTACTACCCAAGGACTCAGGCAGGATCAGGTTGAGGACACAATCCATCTATAATGAAATGTCTTCATTAATGTAACACAGAAAACCCCATTTCTAAATTTACAGGTATAGGGATCAGGACTCCGATACTTATTTTGGAGAACACAGTTCAATTCACAGTATTCTACCCTTTTGATTTCCAATATTCCCACATGCAAATTCCCCACATGCAAAGATCCATTCACTTTGTGTGAGCAACAGAAAGCATTCTAGTACAGTCAAGATCTGATCACGTTTGCCTTAAGGCCTTAACTTACTCTGATGTTATCGTTGTTTATTGTCTTGGAGTCGAACAAAACTCATAGAGACCCTATGATCCAAAGGCCTGAAGCCCCTCTACAACTATTGACTTTTATCAAAGTTCATAGAGTTTCCAGAGGCATGTTATTTAGGAAGTGGATGCCACTCCTGCTTCCAAATATTAACTCTAAATTCAAAGCCTATCTTTTGAGCCATATGAGTCGAGGGTGAGTGAGACCCTGGGCGTGGTCCTCCTCATCTTTGAGTCTATGAAGCCTAGAATCTGAAGTACAGGAGTGAGGTAGGTGTAAGCTGGTGTTTGGTACTATCACATCGACTATGTCTCTTTGTTGTTGTTGTTGTTAAGTGCTGTCCAGTCGTAGGTGACTCATTGCGACTCTATGAATGAGAGTCCTCAACACTTGTGTGACTTTCATCCTTTCTCCAGGTTCATAGGGTTTCTGGAGGCAAACTATTTAGGAAGTAGATGCCGCTCCTGCTTCCAAACTCCATAATAGATGAAATCCTTGCCTCTCCTCCTCCATCCTCACAATCCTGCCATTTTCAAGTTCATGGTTGTAATCACTGTGTCAATGCAGCTTGCCGATTGTCTTCTTTTCTTTCTCCTATCCTCTGCTTTGCCCAGCATGTCTTTTCCCAAGGGAGGGCTCTTGACCCATCCTGACAATATGCCCAAAGGATGTGCGATGACATGTCGTCACCCTTGTCTCTCCAAACAACTCTCGTTGCCCTTCCTCTGAGACAGATATGCTTGGGTTTTTTTTTTGTTTGTTTGTTTTGTATTTTTTTTTTTTTGCAATCCATGGTGTATTTGGTACTCTTTCCTAACACCACACTTCAAAAAAATCTTCTTTCGTCTTCTTTATTCATTGGTCACCTTTCAGCTGCCTAGAAAGCAATTGAAAATACCATGATTTGGGTCAGCTTCATCGTAATCTTTAAAGTGACATTCTTGTTCTTCAGGACTTTGAAGAAGTCCTTGACGGCACAAGGTAGAGATTTCCATTTCAAATGAGAGAATCTGGAAGGAAAGGCTCACAGGTACCAAGTCTAAAACTGAATGGAGCAAATGTCACTAGCTGTCAAGGATTGAAAATAGTCCTTTGTTCTCCTGTATCATGACTTTGATTTTCAGACTCTGGGTGCTGGCTATATAATCTCTGGGTTCTGGTAGAGGCCCCACAGTCATGGGTGTTGACCCTATATTCCAGGCTGGCTGAAATCGCAACCCGAGTGGTACTGAATGAACTGAGATGCAATGGCATAGGATGGGCTGAGTAGGAAATAATTACTTAAAATAAACGTAGTTGTCCTTATGAACAAACATTTCCTTAAAAGTTTCATGATCACGAAGTATCTGTGGAATAGGTGTTTTACTGGTCATTCTGTCTAAAATAGGAATCAGAGTGCGGGGGATGGTTAGAGTTTAGACAGTGGGGTTCATTGTGCCCCCGTCCTCTGCTTCAGTCGTGATCGCACTGGGACCCTTCCACCTGCTACTTCTCGGTCATGTGGCTTTGAGTAACTCTGTTCTCTTCTATTCTTTATTCTTCTCTGTTCTCCTGATCCTCCTGAATGATGACCCCAGGCCACCCACCCCCCAAGCCCCAGGTGGCCCTATTCTCCTGGCCCATGAACATGGCAGCCCCACTCCTTCAATTTTGAGCATTGGCCCCATTTTTTGGCCCACCAAAATGGCAGTCTCCTCTTTTTATTGCTTTTGGTTACCCTTTGGTATTGGAATGGAATCAGGCTTTAAAAATGTGTTTTAGAAAGGATATAGTTTAATCCACAACATAGTTGGAACAAAGTCCCTGAGACAGCAAACAAAACCTATGTGACCCATTCCGAGAATTACAGAAGGTGTATAGGAATCCACAGAGACCTGATAGGAAGGAGATGAGGGTCAAGGTGGGCAGTTGGTACTTCATTCATTTGCCAATGGGAGACTATGGGTTTTTGAATCAGAGGGAGGCACAAGCCAGGTTGATCAGCCTTGCCAACTGACCTCTGCAATGCACACACCCCAGGAGGGTTTAGAACATACATTTGACTGAGCTGGTTTTTCTTGAGCCCCCAGCACATGTCACTTCTTCCAAGCCCTTTCCACTTTGACAGCTTCATCACTGCAGGGCTGTATCCTTCACTAGCCACTTCTCCACTCCTGTCTCTTTATTCTTCCCTCACACTCGGCTTTACCAGGTGACCCTGAGCAAAGTGGGCTCCTTTATGTCTCGTTGTCTACACAAGCCCCTTCATCTACTTAGACTGCCGTCCCTACCCCCATTTCAGCATACAGGATATTCTGACTAAAGGACATTTCCAAGGAGGACTTCTCTGGGTGATTCCCAGCCTCCTCTGCATCCCTCCGTGTGGCACATCTGCTATGGCCTTATACTATGTCCTTTACTGGTTTACCTATGAGTCTAATAGGCATAGATGGAGCCCAGGAACTGCATCCCATTAATAATTGTTTTCCCTGAGGTTAGCCAAGGACTGATAGGAGCAAGCTCTTGGAAAGTGTGGAGTGATTTTGAAAAAAAATGACAATAAATGCCAGGCACTTGACATACAAGATCTTATTCAATCCTTCACACATGTCATTGAGACACATGGTACTGTTTCCATTTCAGATCTGTGATTTGGGCAGGTTTCCTTAATTGCTAATTTGTGGATCTGGAATCCAAAAGCAGGTGTGTCTTGCGGAATAGGTGTAGCTCCCCCGAGGCCACACCCCAAGGGGAGGCGAAAGACTTGGGGTTAGAGAAGCCACAGGATCAGCCACTTCCTCTCACTTTTCCCCACTTCCAACTCAGCAGGGACAGCTCCCACTCGCTTGCTCAATCAAGATCCTTATCTGCTCCTGTACACAGGAAGTGTCCCCACACCTTGCACACCACCCAGGACAGGTGAGCAAGGAGTTTCCATTGATCACTGGGCACATGCACCCGCCCCTTCCCCCTGTGACTTCCCCACCTCTTCACTATGGCCTGGGAAACCCCACCCACACCTCTTATCTTCTGATAAAAGCTCCAGGATGAGCAGGGGAGAACAGACAGCTCCACCAGCCTCTTAAGAGTGCTCCTGGGAGGCCAGAACTAGACTGCCCAAGATGAAGTTCATCACCGTGGCCTTGATGGGTCTGCTATTGGCTGGGATGTTCACCCGGGATGCCGACGCCATCAGCCGTTACGGCAGAGGCAGTAAGTGCGGTTGGGGTTACACTGCTTCTCCCTGAGGAGGGTAGAAATCTACACAGATGCTCTGGGATCAGGGACAGGGCCACCCTGAGCACTTTGATTCCTCCTCTGCTCCTCTGAGAAGGATTCTGCCAGAGAAGAGGCTTTTGAGTGGAAAGAGGACGAGAGGCTAGTGGAAGAATGAAAATCTGGGGCAGATGCAGAGAGGGGAGTATAACTTCAGATAAAGGAGGCTCTGAGCTAATCCCAGGTGGCTCTGCTACTAGCAGAAAGGTTGGCAGTTCAAATCCACCCAGTGGCACGATGGAAGAAGGGCCTGGCAATCTGCTTCTCTATAGATCAAAGCCTAAATAAAAGAAAAGCTTCAATGGAGCAGTTGACAACATGGGATGGTTGTCAATCAGAACCGAGCTGATGACAACGGGGTTGTGTTGTGAGCTAATCCAGATCCTGCTGCAGACCCACCGGCACGGAGAGACAGCAAAGTGAGGCCACTTTGGTCTAAAGTCAGGTCACGTCTTAAAGCCTTGTTTCTCCATCAGTAAAACAAGGCTGCGGAGGCCCACTTTCCAAGAATGCTGCTCGTATTCTAGACACAATAAGGGTGTTGCCAGCAATGAAACTGGAGAAAAGAGCCAGACTTGGGATGTGAGTCTCTGGGGGGTTGACTATGGGAAGGGAGTATACAAGTTGCAGGAGGGAAGTTGGGGGACAAAACTGAGGTCTAGTGAAGGCAGATTCTAAAGGACCAGAGAAGAGGAGTGGTGGGTTCCTGGCAACATTTCCTTTGCCATTTGGTCAAGCTGAACTCCCTGACCAGTTCCTAACCCAGGTCCAGATCCATCTGTGGACTGTGGCCTGTGGACTGCAGCTGTCCTGTGTGCTCCTGAGGGTGAGATCCAGAGCTTTGGACTGGTTTACTGAGTCAGAACCACTTCCTATGAGTGGAACAAGAGGAGGCTTTAGAAATCAATCTTACAAATACCATTTTACAGATAGGAATTCTGGGCCCCAGAGGGAGGGCTCCTTTTTAATCAGAATCGTAATAGCGAACCCTGTGGCCCAGTGAATGAAGAGTTGCACTGCCAACACCAAGGCAGGTAGTTCAAATCCACTAGCTGCTTTGTGGGAGAAAGATGAGCTATCCCCTGTGTGATTTACTGCCTCTGAAAACCTGTTGTAGGCTCAACTAGGAGCCAGTTTCAACTCAACAGCAATGAATGTTTGGAATTTATATAAAAAGTCGTGGAAAGGTTTACACACCGATTAAATCTATCTTGGAGAGATAACAGAAATAGGAAAGGAGAGAGAGGGGACTAAAAACTAATAAATAGAAAAGTCAATAGAAGAAAAGGCAGTACATAGTGAGAGGGAGCTCTGGTGTCCTAGTGGCAAGAAGCTGTGCTGCAATCCTGAAGGCACAGGGTTTGAGGCCACCAGCTGCTCTGTGGGAGAAGGATGGGCAACCTCTTCCCGTGTGATTTCTGAAAAGCTGCTGGAGGGTCAGCTATGGGTTGGTTTCGACCCGATGTTAAATAACAACAACAGTAAGAGTTTGATTAGACTTTTTTATAATTAATTACATTGATCAATGGCAAGTAATGTTATGAAACAAAATGCCTATGAATGATTATATGCAAAATCAATATGATTAATAAACCTGCATTTCAAAGAAAGAGATTACTTTTTTGGTGAGAAAAAAAAAATTGTATTTAGAATTAGCTAGCTGGATTCAGTTTAGATGATCCCAATTTTGTTGGCAACATCCAAAGCATCATAGTCAGGTGCAAGTCGAACATATGCCTTCTTCTCTCCATCAGGCCTAATCAAAGTGTTGATCTTAGCCACATCAGTGTCATAAAGCTTCTTTCCAGTTTGTTTAATGTGGAGCTTGTTGGCCTTGACATCCACCATGAATACAAGTGTGTTGTTACCTTCTATTTTCTTCATAGCTGACTCAGTGGTCAGGGGAAATTTGATGATGGCATAGTGGTCAAGCTTGTTTCTCCTGGGGGTGCTCTTCCAGGGATATTTGGGCTGCCGTCGGAGTCTCAGAGTCTCAGGCTGCCAGAAGATGGGTGAATGACATGCGGATTTTTTTTTATTTTTTATTTTTATTTTTATTTTTTTTGGCTGTGGACGCCTTTCAGGACTGCCTTCTTGGCCTTTAATGCCTTTCCTTTGGCTTCAGTTTTGGGAGGGGCAGGGAATTCCTTCTTCGCTTTCGGTGCCATCTTCGTAGAAAGGGTAAGAGATTATTTTTTTAATAAAAAGGCCGTAACCTCCAGTTTATGGGGTGCTGGGATTGGAACCCCAGTCACATCTAACCGCTGAGCCAGGATGCTAATGAATGAATTGGAGCCGCTCCAGGACCTTTGGATGTTATCCAAAGCTTGAGCCTATCTGAGGAGACACTGTCTCTGTTGTGAAATCCTTGGACAGGAGAGACAAACTAGGTCCAGGCTGAGGCGTGTCTCCAAATCTTCTTTTTTGCTTCTTACAGTGCACGTGTATTCCTCCAATTGCTGCTACGACTTTTTGAGAAAAAAGCTTCCTCTGAAGAACATTCAGTGCTACATAAACACTAGCTCCAGCTGCTCCTACGAAGCCTTCATGTGAGTCCCGTGTGCAATCCCCAACTTCCTTTCTTATTAGAGAGCCCACAGTTGGCCTGGAATTAGAACGCTGGATGCTAGATGGCGGTATTTCACCAGGATACAAACCCAGCCCCAGGTCTAGCTGCTGAGCTGAGTTTGGGCGCTAGAGGGAGCAAAAGCAAAGGTGAGCCCGAGAGTCTGCAATTCATTTGCGTCTCTCAGAGAAACAAGGCAGGAGCTATGATTTCCTGGCATCATATGTCCGAAGAGGGAACTGCTGAACAAAAGGACCCAGCAGTGTTATGTAGTGGAAAGGTGCAACAGTCATGAGCCACTGCTGCCTCCTGATTGGCCAAGCTATACTCTGAGTGACCTTGGACTGGTGTCTCGCCAGCACCCAGTTACCTGTGCAATCCTCTGATGGCTTATCTGTGAAGTACATTAAAATGATGGCTGCTTCAGAATCATTACAGAACTTAACTGAGGTAGGGGACAGGTGTGCTTACGAGGGACATGCGTGTGTATCAGAGAGCTCTGTTGGTGCTGTGCACAGGGAGTTAGTTGTTCTTCCAATCCAAATGCCACGTCTCCCTGACAGCTCAAATCTCCCAGTGGCTTCACACAAGAAAGATGGGCAATCTCTTCCTATTTGATTTACAGCCTTGAAGCCTGTTGGAGGGTCAGCTAAGAGAAAGTAATGAATGCTGAGTTTTCATGTATATTATCTTGTCTAACTCTCTCAGGGGTGACAGTCAGTGGCCACTCTGACAGTAAGGAGTAGGACTGCACTATCATTTGAACAACAGGCAAGTTTAGAAAGTAGGCAACACCACCACCATCAATTGCTGTTGAGACAGCGCTGATTTATGGCCACTCCATGTGTGTGTGAGAGTAAAACTGTTCCATAAGATTGTGCACAGCTATGCTTTAGGTTGTAGATAACTAGACTTTTCTTCCACAGTACTTGTATGTGGATTTGAACTTCCCACCTTTCAGTTAACCATTGAGCACATTGTTTACAAGTTACAAGGGATACTTCCTTTCAGGCTCTGCATGGACACATGTACATACACACAAAAGTCCGAAGCAGATAATTGAGGGTCCTGGACACAGTTCTCTGAGGATTTGTCCTCAGAGTTCTCTAGGACAGGAATTGTTTCCTCTAGCTGTTTGCAGTGTCTTCAATCCTGCTTGATTCATTGAATCGTGAGGTCCAGGAAATGTGGATTAACTAGCTCTCCTGGATATTCCATCCTGTGCACAAACCACAGCTCTTATGCAATGGCTTTGTTTTATAGAAGAGAGAGAGAGAGAGAGAGAGAGAGAGAGAGAGAGAGAGAGAGAGAGAGAGTGAGTTAGAATTCTTTAGGGACTCCTCTTTGGAAAAATGGCAGAGACTGGATTTTCTGTGTGACACTCAGTAGGTGATTCTGACTTCTTTTGTTCTCTGACTTCTTTTGTTCTTTTTGTTCAGATTGAAGCTGAAGAATGGCAGAAAGGCCTGTGTTCTGAAGACAGCCAATTGGGTTCATGAAAATTTCAGAAAGATGAAGCCCTGCCCGATAAAGGAAACATGAACAAATTCCACTCCATTCTGGGTTGCGGAGCCCACTTCACTTCGTCTCTCAACCTATAGCACCTTTCTCTTCCAACTTGTGTGGACAGCAGGATCTGCTCAGGTCCTAAAAATGCACATATTTAAGTTAAATCCTCACCCGTTCCTGGTACCTTTTGGATTCCACCAGTGTGTGCACTTGGCTAGTGAGAGGCTGGGGCCAGGGGCTGGAGTGTGAGAAAAGGGAAAGGAGGCTCTGGTGTAAGGGTCTTGTCAACCAGAGCCAGTGAGTGACTCTCCATGAACAGTCTTTGTCCTGGGACTGCGTAAACTTTGACTTGGGGTTGTGCAATAAAACCAATTCAACTCTGTACAGTTGTACTCAATTCTGTTCTATTCTGACAACAACTACAGGTGCAGTACTTTTTGTCATCTGACCATAACCACCAAAACTAGGTTAGATCTCACAAGTTAAAGGGCACAGTCTTCCAGAAGTCTGCCTAAAACTTCAGACATCAAATGCAGGCTTGGGGGTCCCCAAATTCCTCTAATTTTCAACTTCCTGCCTCCCACTGTCCCTTCAGGTCTAATAATTTGTTAGAACAACTCATGGAACTCACTCACGCCTTCATTCACTCATTCCAGTCAAGAGGGAACTGACCCATAGCTGACCCTCCAGTGGGTTTTCATAGGCTGTAAATTGCATGGGAGGAGATTGTCTACTTTTCTTCCTTAGAGAAGCTGCTGGATTTGTGGAAGGACAGTGCAACTCTGCTAGGTCGCCAGAGCTCCCCTCCCAGAACGCAGAGATGGAATAATTCTTGGTTACTATGAATGGGAAGGGAGGAAGAGGGGAGTAAAAATTAATAGGTAATTTGGGTGAAAGGAAAGGCAATAGGCATTTAAGGTTTGATTGATTTTTGTTAGGTAGCATCAATTCTTTAAGCCCAAAAGGGGAGTGGGGAGAGAAAGCGGCCATGTTCTCTGTGGTTTGCTCCGCCCAAGGTTGCTTATGACCTGGTTGCCAGAGAGAGCATGATGCTGTGTGCACAGGTGTTGTGGCAGCTTTTGGAGTCAAGTGTTTTTTGAACTTGTGTTTGACGTGAAGGACTACTCTGCCTCCAGGAGCCAGGCAAGCCAGGCTTGGCCTAGGGTTAAGGCAGAAGGGGGCTTTAAGCCCAAAAGGTTCAAATTGTTTTCTTGTCAAACACTCTTCTAGGTGGTATAGCCCTGGTCTGTGTGTTGCTGTACAGAGATAACTCGTGTTTGCTGTGATGTTGAACACTGGGACACTGATGTGTCAAACGTGGTAATGGGTACCCATGGCGGACAGTGTTGGCTGGAGCTTCCCAACTAAATCAAGCCTGGAAGCAGGAGCGGCATCCACATCTGGAATGGCTTGCCTCTGGAAACTCTATGTACAAACAGTACTCAGGCCTTTCGTTCATGGGGTCACTATGAGTCGTCTACAACTCAACAGCACCTAACAACAACAACAACAACAACAACAATGACATCATCAATTCTACTATAACCCACAGCAGCCCCATGATCAACACATCTGAGCCCTTCCCTATCCTGTGCCACCCTCGTCCTCTCTGATATCTTTACACTCATTGTTGCAGTCGCTGTGTTAATCCATCTGCTGAAGGTCTTTCTTTCCTTCGCTGACCCTCCACCTTTCCAAGGATGATGGCCTTTTCTAAGGACTGGCCCCTCCTGGCAGCAAGCCCAAAATAAGTGAAATGAAGCTTCCCTTTCCTTGCCTCTGGTTTCGCTTTCTCCAAGAGAGAGCTGTTTGTTCTGTGTGCCAGCCCATGGGCTATTCAGTGCTCTTCTCCAGCACCGCGACTCAAAGGCATCGATTCTTCTTCTGTCATCCTTGGTCATTGTCTAACTTTCTGAAAGTGTTTAAATAGCCAATGTAAGTAATTAATCATACTAATCAACTGTGATTGATGATATGAAAGAAAATGCCTTTGAGTAAATGAATAACCAATATTGTTTATAAACTTTTACTCTGAAAATTATAATTAGACCCATTAGTCTTTTGGTCTACTACTGTTTGATTTTCTTCCCTGGACAGGGAAAGACCACTAGTGTCCTTTAGCTGGCTGAAGGCAAATTTTTAACATGTCAGTCACTCCTCTCCAACGTAGAATTCAGAACATTCGCTTTGGGAACAATACTATACCAATTGACCTTGCTGTCCCCTGAGACCATGTTCCTGAACTCTCAGGCCCAGTGACTCATTCTCTCAAAGTATTTGGTTGTGGCCAAGAAATGGAAATAATTTGGGTCTCTGTTTGCTGAACTATGAATATGTAGCTATTTATAGCACGTGCACATACGTGTGTAGAAATGTCAAGTTGCCAGACCTGTAGGATTGTAAGTGTGGTCTCATTCACCCATGCATTCTTGTTATCTTGCTTGCCTGTGTATGATAAGATGAACTCTCCTTTGGAATGTGTGTGCATGAGGAAGATGAACTGAGGCAGAAGGTTGAGGAAGGAAAGTGAATTCTAGGTTTAGGGACAAACGAGGCAGTCTGTTCCTCTGAAATCTGAGGGAGGGTTGGCGTGGGTTCAATCTGAGCAGAGGGTAGTGGATTTGGTTTTTATTTGGTCTCCTTTTCAGTGAGGAGCTCTGGTGGTGTAGCCTGTAGCAAGTTGCTTTGAAGAAGAAAGATGGGCAGTCTTTTCTGGCAAACACATAGAAGCTTGGAAACTCAACGGAGAGCTGCTTTTAGTTTCAATTGGCTTGACAGCTGTGCGTAACTTTCAATAGGGACCACTGGGTTGCATTGCTGTGGATGGGGAAGAAGAGGAACAATGAATCCAGTAAGAGAGCTCTTTGTCCTGGGCCTCTTCTATCCTGAGAGAGGAGTCACCTATGAGCTGGGATCTTGGAGAGGAGTGCTATAGTGGGGTGCTGTGGGAGGAACAGACTGGGCTCTGCACCCAAACCTAGCAGGACTTTACCAGGACATTTCCTGGACTCTGCTTGGTTCTGCCTCACCAGTTTTACTCTGCTTGCAATACTTTCCTCCCTGCTGGCAACTCTTGTAAATACTTCCACACTAGCAAATACCATGAAAGTGAAAGGTAGGAAATAGAGCCAAGATTAGTGAAATAGGAAATAATAGAGATAAGGAAAAATGACTGAAGTTCAAAGACAGTTCTTTGACAAGCCTATAATGAAGCTAGTCTCTTCTTGGTGCCAGAAGTTAAATGCTCAGCTACGAGCCAGAAGCTGGTTCGAACCCACCTGAAAGTGCCTCAGAAGATAAGCCTGGTGATCTTGCTGTAGAATTTCAGTTCTGCTCTGGCTGACACACTTGGGGCACTGGAATAAACTCAGTGATAGCGAGCAACAACACAATGGAGCTAAGACTTTCTGAAACTGACTATGAAGAAAGGCAGGAATCATCAGCAACAGAAATAAAAGAAGGGACACAATCATTGAGCTTACAGAAAACCGGAATCTGTCAATAAATTAAATTTAGATGAAATGGATGAATTTCTAAGACATAGAACTTAACATTTCACAAGAAGAAACAAAAAAGAATAATTATAACATGATTAAAGGAGTTGAATTTATAATTAGTAATTGAAAAATATCTTTCCTATCCCAAAATTTGCTAGGCTCAGACACTTTAAAGATTTCTCCAGGCTTTCAAGGAACTAATAATTTCAATCTTTGCTGTTATTATCAGGTGCTGTTGAGTTGGTTCTGATGCATAGCTATGCTATTAAGTACACGTTCAACAGAACAAAACACTGCCAAGTCCTATGTTTGAGGCCACTGTTGTAGCCACCGTGCTAGGGATCTTCCCCTATCATCTCCTCTTTTTTTGTTCTTCACTAAGCTTCTTGTCATTCTCTGGGGACTGGTCTTTCCTGATAACACGCCCAAAACTCAGGAGATGAAGTCTTGTCATCCTTGCCTCTAACATGCATTCTAGTTATATCTCATTCAAGACAGATTTTTTCTCCCCTCCTGGCAGTCCAACATCAATCTTACACAATCTTTTCCAGAGAGTATAAATGACTGCACATCACTCAACTCATTTCACAAGTCTTGCATAACTTTGACAGCACTTTTAAGACCCATGAAGAAGAAAAATCATAATCCTCCCCTTTAAATACATTTATGTTATCTGTCCTGAAAAGATAATCTGTGTGGGTTACATTAATGGGTTCGTTGGCTTAACAACAAGTGGAATGGATTGAAATGTGTTTCCTAATCCCCCCAAAATATAAGAAACAAAGCTCAGTGCCATCAAGTTGTTTCCAACTCTTTTTTGCAAGGCTGCAAACCTCCACTGGAGATTTGCCTTGTCTTTCTCTCCAAGAGTGGTTTGGATTCTGACCGCTGACCTTTGTAATTGTAATCTAGTGCTTTACCCACTGTAACCAGCGTTCTTCCTCCCAAAATACCTGTTGTAAATCCTAACCCCTAGTCTTGTAGAGCTAGTTCTATTTAGTAATCCAGTTTGTTAATGAGGCCAAAGATGGTATATGCTGCAATCCCAAAGGCACATGGTTCAAGGCCACCAGCTGCTCCATGGGAGGATGGGCAATCTCCTTCTGTGGGATTAACTGCCTCTAAAAGCCCACCAGAGGTTCAGACAGTAGGTCAGTTCTGACTCTACAGTATACAAAACAACCATCACCACCAGAGTACTGTTTTAAGGCAATCGTGATTACCATACAAAAGAAGTAGAAAAAAAAACAGATGGGAGGCTTTTGGCTATCTAGTTATGCAAGATTGTATGGAGATCATCAAAGCCATTTGGGAAAACTGAAGAGATAAGGACTGTTCTGAGAGAGCAGACAAAGAGAGAAAACCTTTTTAGACGCGTTGCTGCAGTTAGTTTCAATTCAAAGGGACCCTCCACTAGGTTTCTGAACCTCTAATTTTTTTTTCCTTTTGGTACCAACAATGGGGTTTATTAGGGAAGGAAGTTCAAGTGCAGAGGAGGCGAAGAATACCACTCAATGCAAACTCAAGTTTTAGTCC